CGGCTTCGTCATGCGCTCCGCCGCTGTCCTGGCACTTCTGCTCTGCGCCGGGCAAGGTGAGCGAGCGCGGAGTCTCGGGGGAGAGGGCCCTGGGTGCCCCTGCCCGCCCTTGCCGGCTCTTGTCCTGCCTGCCCTGAAGTCCAGGCACCGCGCAGCGCGGCGCGACGCGGCGAGCCGCTCCATAGCTCCCCTCGGGCACGGCGAGTTTTCAGCACCGCGGACAGCGCCCCCCGCCTCCCTCCTGACCCCACAAAGTGTCCTCAGGCCAGAATCCGCAGACCGGACTCTGCGCACGACTCCCGACCCTGTGAGGCAGGGTCCGCTGGGCTCCACTCGTGTCTGGGCTGCATCAGGACCAGCGCCGGCCCCACGCCATGGCTGGCCAAGGTCATTGGGGGAGATGGGAGGACTGCCGCTGGCTCCCCCTCTCGCCTCTCTCCCTTTTCCATTCTCCCGCTCTGCCCCGTCTTTCTGTTCTTGACGTCTACCTCTCAGCATCATCTCTCACAATCCCCCTCCTCCATCTCTTTTTCCTCGACTCTGGGATCTCTCCCTCTCCCTGCATTCTCTCCCCACCCCAACCCCGTTCAGCCCTCGGCCTTGTTTTCACATTTGCCTTCAGCTCCCATGCTGCCTCCTGAGCAGGAGCTTTCCCAAAGGGAAGGGCTAAGGCTTTCGGTGCAGCCTCTGGGAGACACCCCCTGGGGGCAGCAGCCGGGGAAGAGAAACGAAATCACCCCCAGCATCTCATTTGGGTGGGGGCAGTTTTGAGGGAGAGCACGGAGGTCCCCAATGAATCCGGTCAGGAAGCGCTGGGCCCTCCCCTCAGAACAGAGGAGTGACCCAAGCTCTCTCTCTTTCTTCTCAGTCATTGCCCTCCCTGTGAACACCCCTATGGATAAAAGAGACACCGAGGTAAGAAGAGGTGCGGGGATGCCCCAGGATGGGGGATAGGAGGCCCTAGCAGCTGCCTCACAGCCAGTTCTTGGGCAGCTGCAGAGTGAGTTTGGCATAAAGCCAAAAGCCAGCACTGCGGCTGCTGAGCCTGGGGACAGCTTGCAAAAGAAGATATCAAAGACTGTTTGATTGTCCTGCCATCCTGCTGTGGGGCTTTCCCAGCTTCCTCTGAGCTGAGTGTGCAGCTTGATGGGGCCCGTGTCTTGCCTGCTAGGTTGAGGTGCCAAGCCCGCTGTCTTGAACATTTCAAATCTGGCATGCTCACCAAGAACTGTTGGGGGTGACTTCTCTGTGGTTGTCCACAGACCTTTGAGAATGTTCTTCACCTGCCTGACTCTGGCCTCCCCCTTGGCTTTTCCCCTCCCCCTAAGGCTCTGCCAGCAATACCCCTCCCCACCCCACAAACACCCCACAGGCACTCAAATCTCAGCTTTCCCAAAGGGGCACATTTAAAAACATTCTCGGTCATGGCTTCTGCACCCAGGGTCCCAGCCAGTTAGCACGGAGGGTGTATGTCACCCAGGAAAGGGACTTAGGAGACACTGGAGTGGGGTTCTGTAGCCAGCAAGAGACACTCCATGTTGGGCGTACGCTTGAAATTCATTCATATCTGAGCTGAGGCTGTTTTCTAGTCTCTGGTGCTCACAGATACCGCCACTTGAGAGTCAAAGAATTTCTACTCCTCACCTTTCCAGGAGCCATTTTCTTCCATTCCAGAAAGGTTATGGTTAAAACCCAAAGCATCAAAGCAATTTTAACCTCAACTTGCTCTGTCATATTTTCTACTCTTTAGTTGTAGATAGGCCTGTATTTAAACCTCTACCATTAATTGTAGCTGTGTGATCTTGGGGAAATTCCTCACCTTCTCTGAGCTTCCTTTTTCCCCATCTGTAGTAATATTTCTCTCGAGGGGAGTTGTGAGAAGTAGGAATCATAGATGTGAGGTGCCTGGTACGTAGTAGGTCCTCAGTAAATGAGCACTTTTATTTCTAGAGCTTCCCTTCTTGATCTCCCCATTGTTCTTAGGACTCATATACAATTCCTCTTCTCAGAATCCGCCCTCTTGGACTGGTGGTTATCTGATATTCCCAGTGCAAGGTCTGGGGTTGCAGGGAGGTACAGGGGACAGGCTGCTGGGCCCTCCTTGCCAGGTCCCTTATGGGAGACATTCCACATTGTGCCCAGGAGCCAGGAGTCAGGGGCACCAGAACAGTTGGTTAAGACCTGAATGTTCCATCCCAGGATGCTGTGACAACTGTAGAACTTATTTGCCAGTTTGCCATCCTGGATCCTTGGACGGGTTGCCGTGGCATCCCATACACACAGCCTTCCACCCCCTCACTCCCTACCAGCACTGCCTGATGCACGTCTGACACCTCCTGCTCCTCTGCTCTAGGCAGCTGAAGCAGGTTGGGAGCTGTGTATTCTTCCCTGGGTGTGTGTGGCACTTCATGCTTTATCGAGTGTTTTCCAATCTGTGCCTTATCACCCTAGGAGGGGAGTTGGGACGTTCTTCTCACTCCCATTTTACAAATAAGGAAACCGAGGCTCAGATAGGTCAAGTTATAGACCCAAGACAACACAGGTAGGAAACCACACTACAGTTGGCACCACCTTCAATTATCACATGCCTGATTATCCACAGCACCCTGCTGGGGGCAGTGGACAAGACTTTCAGAGATATGGTGGCTGCTGGCCTGGGATGGACACCCAGAGGCAGGTGATGTGTGCCCATATCCAGCCGGCAGATTCATTCGCTGGATAAATACGGACCCAGATGGTGAAGCTGTCGCTCCCTGCATGTGACAACACCGTGGATGTTGGGAGACAGTGATCCAAGTCTTTTTTCCGGACAGGGTGGAGCCAGGGAAGGTCTAAGCTCTCCTCCAGGTGGCTCAGAAAGGCTTCCTGGAGATAGCTGACCTTTTGCACATCTGCACAACTAAAGTACTTGTGCAAGACATATGTCCGATGCCCCTCACCCCCACCTTAGAGGGGCTCCTTCTAGTGAGGAGATTGGAGTGCCTGGCCCATGATAAGCACCATGTACAGGTTTTCTTTTACCGTTGCTATTATTGTCTGGCTGAGAAAGCAGAGCTGTGGCCCTGAGCCAGGCATCCATGGACTCCTGAAGACAGAAGTAAATGCCCTTATGTCCTCATTAGAAATTTGCACTGGAGCCTCCAGAGGCTGACTCCCATGCCCAAATCAGCCCCAACCTGCCCCGCTCTCTTCCCAGGTGATGAAGTGCATCGTTGAGGTCATCTCTGACACGCTCTCCAAGCCCAGCCCCATGCCTGTGAGCAAGGAGTGTTTCGAGACACTCCGAGGAGGTATGGGTCAGGCTGGGGGTGAGGGGCTGCTGCCTGCTGGACTGGGAGGCTAGGACATGGGTGTATGGCTTTTGATGGACTCAAAAATTTAATTCAACAGTCACTGACCAAGTACCTGCCTTGTCCAGGTGTGTGCTGCAGTCTGAGTGGTACAGGAAGGTGAAAGGATTAGAGGCTCTGTGCACCTGGAGCTTACAGACTAGCAGAGGGGACAAATATGAATACAATCAGCAAGGGTTCAAATCAGGGTTGGAACAGCAAGCCACCAGAATGTGGCTCCCTGTGGGCAAGGATTTTGTGTGCTTTATCCCCAGGGCCAGGAACAGCTGCTGGTAGACACCTTATAGATATCCGATGAATAAAGAAGCACTGTGGGTGGGCATGAGAAGGACAAAGCTTTGCCAAGCAGGCGGTCGAGTTTGACCAGCTTTTGGATGGAGCCAACGTTAACGTTGGGGTTGGGCGTTAAGAGAAAAGTTGGAAACCAACAGGTAGAAAAATGATGAAAAAATACTCCAGGTAGAGTAGACAGCACAGCCATGGCCTGGCGATGGGGAGATGTGCTGTGTTTGGAGACACCCCTACCTCGCCTCAGGGCTGCCATCTCTCAGCCAGGGTCTGGGTGCTGGGACAGTGGCTGACCTTTCTGATGTAGTAAACTGACTGACACCTTGGACAGGAGGTCATTTCACAAGTGTTATCTCGAGACCCAATCTTGCTGCTGCCACCCAGGCTTTGAGTTTCCAGAATAAAGTCCTGTGCTCAGCTGAAAATATTGATGGCAATCTCTTTCTCAGCTGTCCTCTGGAAATGACCCATAATGACTCTCCTTCATTGCAGATGAACGGATCCTCTCAATCCTGCGCCATCAGAATTTGCTGAAAGAGCTCCAAGACCTTGTTCTCCAAGGTATTTCCAGCCACTGCACATGAATCTGGGTGAATTCCAGTGACTGAGAGTCAGGAAATCAGGGTGGAAGGTCAAGCAGGTCCTGTTTCTCTTCAAAATTCATTTATTTCCTTTCAGTTAGAGAGTGGAAAGGTGGGTTCTCCACGCCACTTGTTTCAACATGCCACCAATATTGTTAAAGATCAAGGCCCAGAGAGGTTGAGCGTCAAGGTCACACTGTGAGTTAGGGACATGCCAAGATGAGATGCAGCTCTCTGAATACTCCATGGTCTCAGGACTTTAGCCATTGCAGTGAGGCACACTCGAGACTAGGTGGCAGAAGGAGTCTCTTTCTTCTGGGTATACTCCCTTGCTCACAAACACTGTGTGAGGCCCCTTTGGCCATTCTTCGAACTCCCATCATGGGGGGAAAAGAATCACCAGCTGCGAACTGGCCTGGGTAAGGGACCATCGCCAGGAACTAGGCACCGGTGGGGATAGCAGCAGCCTCAGGCTGATGCAGGGAGAAGGGTCTCTGGATCATGGCAGCAGGTGCCAACCCTGCGTTTGGATATAGGCACATGCTTGGCTTTCTCCCAAGGGCCTGGATTTATGGGGTCCAGGGCAAGCAGGGGTTTCCCAGAGGGGACAGTCACTGTTACCTCCTGCTGCAGAGTCCCTTAGCTACCAGCCAGGTCCTGAGGGGCCCCCACTCTCCGCCTCCACCCCTGGGACCTTTTGCTCCCTCTGAGCCTTTGTTGCTCTGTGAGGCAGCAGGCAAGGCTTGTTCTCATTACCTAGGTGAGAAACTGCGTCTGGAGAGGTGGCGTGGCCACCTGATGGGCCGCAGCTGGGAGGGGCAGGAACAACCAACCGCCCCCCATCCCCAGGCTCTCACCCCCTCAGTCTGTCATTGGGCAGGGCTGGAACATGATGTGCCAGCGTACAGGTGAGGAATATCTCATAGATAAATGTGCCGGCTCAGACCAAATGGGACTTTTTCTCCTGCTCTCATACCAGGTGCCAAGGAGAGGGCGCAGCAGCCGAAGAAACCGAGCAGTTTTGAGGAAGAACTCTCAGAGGTTCTTGAGAAGCAGAACGACCAGGCCGAGCTAAAGGGTCAGTGCCGGCCATTCTGGAGACCAGGGGAGGGAGGGGACGATAACCATGGTTACGATAGACTGAGGGTTTCTGGGAGTCAGGGATCCCTCCTTTACACCCTGTAAGGTAGCTATTATTTCCTTCCATTTACAAAGCGGGAAAACTGAGGCTCAGAGAAGTTAAGTACCTTGTCCAAGGCGTAACCGGAGATGCGAATCTGGTTCTGTCTCACTCCGAAGCCCCCGATTGGTCCCTGACACTCCAGGATCCCGGATCTCAGTGGTTTTCCATCTGGGGTTGAGAGAGGATGCTTGCCCCGTGGCCCAGGTGCCCCCATGTTGGCCTGGGCTGTCACCCTAGTGGATGCGTGGGCCACAGCATCCCACATGCTGGCCCATGGGAAAGTATCTGGATGGCTGTGGATGTCTGCCATGGGCTGCGGGCTGGGGAGCAGCGGGGTGTGTGTGTGTGTGTTTGTAATTTTTAATAAGGGAAGCAGCCATGTGTCAGTGCAAAGAGCACTGTACTTGGCATTTGAAGCTCGGATTCGAGCCTCAGCCCTGCGGCCTACAGACTGTGTGAGCACAGACAGGTCTTCTCACATTCCTGAGAATCCGTTTGAGTTTCTGTAAACAGGATGGAAGCACTTACACCTGCGGTCAAAGAGTCAGA